TTTGTACAAAAAACATCATACCCTAGGGTCGATGTACATCTGGATGACGAGTACTAAATGGAATGAAATGTGAGTCGTGGATTTCACTGCTAGCCACTAAAAAGACTACAAAGTTATGAAAATCGGTTCAGTATCTAGGCCTACACCTAGGTTCCCTTGTGCTAAACTGAGGTCGAACTATTTCCTTGAATTTGGCAACGGGAATTGGCAAGTATAAATAAACAAAATACTCTTGTCTATTCGAAGTTGGTTTGGTCAGTAGATAAAACCAACATTTTATTGCGAGGAAAGGTTAGAAGTTATATCAAAATATCATTATGATATATGCTCTACAAGTGAAAATCCCTAGAAAATAAGACGGCTAACAATAACCATGTGATTCAGTTAATGTGAGTAATTCACTGACCAAAACTCAACTAGTTGATAGTCAGTAGACCACACACATGATTGCACAACCTACGGTGTGTCAAGCTGAGAGTGAAAGTAAACATGCTCATTTAATATGATATAATTGTTTTTATATCATACCGTCGTTGATTGGACCGAATTGATCAGTCTCTATTATCATATGGGCTCCTCTGTGGATGCCTAGATATTACCTGCCTTCAAATTATGTTAACGATGGATGGTGGCTAACAGTGGAATCCAGGATGTGCATTTCGTCATATTTCGGACTCACCAGTGAGCTGGATGTACCTGCTTCCTAGTGAGTGATGTTCCCACCGGAATTCGGACTCGGGAGAGATCGATTTGAACTCCAGGGCGTTATCCACTACACAACCGAGCCACGGTAGCCACTTCTTGTGCGACGAGTATAGTTTTCAGTATAATTGTTTTTACACGATACCGTCATTGATTGGACCCATCATTAACATAGTAAGAACGCTGGCAATATCGAGGCATCCACACAGGAGCCCATATGCTAATAAAGACCGGACAATTCGGTCCAATCAACGATGGTGTGATATAAAAACAATTACACTAAAAACTATACCCGTTGCACAAGAAGTGGCTGTCGTGGCTCAGTGGTGTAGTGGATAACGCCCTGGCGTTTGAAGCTATCGCTTCTGAGTCGAAATCCCGGTGGGAACAACACTCACTGGGAAGCAAGTACATCCAGCTGACGACTCCCAATTGGGCAACCTGGATTCCACTTCTAGCCAGGATCCATCATTAACATGGTCATTAAATGATAAAGATAAGGTAACAAGCTGCGGCTCAAAGCTGACTTTCATTCAATTTGTCACAAGTTCGAACTCCGCCACGCCTGTCGAGGTTAATGCAGCCCAGGTAATATCATTAGCCCTCAGTTATAATAAGTTTGGCTGATTGCATTGTAAACAAATTTGAAAAAAAGTTGCTAAATGCATTTCGATTCGAAAGTCAGCGTAATGGTAAAAAATTGGTAAAGACATAAATGATAGTAGCTTTTTATTAAACAGAAACAACACTTCCATCACCTAATAGCTGGCAGATTAGTGATCTAGTGTTTATTCTAGCTCTCTTCAAGTTGACATAGAGGATAAGAGGTGTAAATTCTTTTGAAAGAATTCAACACATTCATCTGTGACAATCATGTGATCGGCGATTGCATTAATAGTAATAATCCTTCCACTGGATTATACGCTTTCAAAGGTTTTTAAAGAAACCTGAAGTCTACTCTTCTTTATATAGTTCTCACTTACATGTTTAAGTGGCTACAGGCATTTCTAGGTAGCATTCATAGAAGACTTTTCTCCTTTAAGTGTGAAGACGAAAACGTAGTGTGATGAAGTGTAACTAATTTTATGGCAGTATACTTTCTGGGCTATGCTGTCTTCAGCCATCTCATTGCCCTTACAAAGTTGTCTTCTGAATTAAGGTTTATAGAAACTGACATTATGTTGACTGTATTCTTCTTCAGTTATTTGTTTGGTGCTTCTCCATATTCTCTAATAAACTCTGTAAGACACGCATTTTCCAATAAAACAAATTTTGCAGAAGTCCAAACGCCATAAAGTTGCTGAAAACGGGGAAAGCAGTAGGACCAGATTGAGTTCCACAGAAGTACTGAAAACAGACGTAGAGACATCAGCAGACATGCTCACACCACTTGTATTGCCGAAGGTTTAAAAAGAAAGAAGGAAAGGTACCTGCCGATCGATTGAAAGAAGGGCTACCTTGTCAAACTCCCGAAGAGGGGTTACCTAAGTCTTTGCAAAAACAAGAACCGGCACGGAATCATGTTACTGTCCACGCCCACCCCAATCAAAATATTAAGCTGCATCATCGTAGAGAGACTAAAACATGCTCTGGATTCAAAATTACGACACGAACAAGCTGTCTAAATGGTTTCAGGAAGAACAAATCATGTGTGAACTGAATGGCAATGCTACGCTACTCATCATCATAGAACAGTACATAGAATGGCAGTCAACTGGATCTTTAACTCAACTTCATCGACTTTTAAAAGGCGTTGGATAGGATAAACCGAGAAGTAATTTGGCAGCTGCTCCACCACTACGGTTTTAGTGCCACAAAACTTTATTAACTTCATTCAACAGCTATATGAAGAAGCCATATGCCACGTGATTCACAATGGGAAGCTCAGTGTTGCCTCTGAAGTTTAGACAGGGGTAAGACAAGGCTGCCGCCTAGTATCACAAATGATCTTCCTGATGGTGGTCGACTGAACTGGATCATGCAGCAAACCGTGAGGAACGAGTAGAATAGCAAACCTTGGCTGGACCGATAAAAAGACCTCAAAAGAAGATTCGGATTTCATCCATGATGATTTATGTCTAATGTCTTGTAACACAATCTCAATGCTCTACATGCGAAAACCAACAACTTGACAAAAGACGCAAGGCAGTGAAGACAGGACTAACTTCAGGTGAACGTAGAGAGGACAGAGATGATGAAGATACCAAACCAGAAACCACAACAACAAGCACCAGTCACCATCAACAGGAGAAGTGTAAAGAAGTTATCTCTTTCACCTACCTGCCTAGGCAGCATCATTTCAACTATAGGCGGCGGCCGCCGCACAAATGAGGACATGAAAGCCAGGATCGAAAAAGCTAGACAGGCCCTCATCAATCTGAAATCAGTGTGGAGACCCACTTCACTACACTTCACTCCACTCAACATAAAGCATGAAGAAGATCCGAATTTCAACACTAATTCAGTCAAGTCAGTGCTTCTATGTGATGGTTGAGAGATTTGGCACGCTAAGAAAAGCATTTCCAACAAACAACTGCAGATATACATCAGTAGCTGCCGCCTGCACTCACTCGATAGTGATACTGAAGATCAGATAGATGGCCAGAATCATAAGAATAAGCAACAACACCAACCAACAACCCATCGCCCAACAAATATACAGGAGGAAGTTGAGATGGGTTAGGTAGGTATACACTGAGAAAACCATTCAAGAACTTCATACGCCAGTCAAAGCCGTTGAGTTGAACCCAAATGTGAAACGATGAGTTGGGCGTTCGAGGGTGACCACATGGAGGAGATCGTATGAGGAAGAAATGAGATCTTGTGGGCAGTGTTGGAGCCAGTTTGAAAAGACTGGAGGGGAGACAGTGAAATGGCGATATACTAAAGAGGACCTATGTTGCATTAGGAACCCAAGGGACAAGTAATGATAATAATGAGGATCACTGTGTTTAAGTAATATGTTTCTTTTTGCTAATTGAACGGATGGATTTAAATTTCGGATGCAGTCTTTTTGATAGACATGGATCAACACTGAGCATTAACCCTTAATTGGTTGCTGATTCATCTCCATGATCCATTGCTGTACTGGCCAGTTAGACACCAAATAGCTTGGTGTTAGAATAGTTATTTTCACCTCTTGACTAAGCAGGTTTGAATGCAGTCTTTTTATATGTGACATTTTTAGAGTTGAGCTAGCGAAGTATCTGTTGAAGAGTTGGATGTTATAACATAGTGGGATAATTATTAGTTTTCTGCTAGTGACAATCAGTTTTCAATAGATATCTATCATAGGTAATTACTATCTTGAAAGTCAATAGTGAATATTTTGTTTTAGTTTGAATTGGCTCTCTGTTTTTTAAGGAGGTAAAATCGTTATCTATCCTTAAAATGTTTATATTTTATTAACGGAACAATTGAAATGCTTTTTCAATACAGCTGATTGTATTGAAAAAAAAACAACAAATGCTAGTTGATTGGTGGCAATCAACAGGAAGCCCTGCCTCACCTAGGTTTCATGCTTTTTGGCACTCATCAGCAAGGTGTATCTGAGCTTTCTAGTTTGGTTGCCACATTGTAAATATAATCGATAGAATTCGGTCTGCACTCAAGACTAGACAACATGAAATTGGTTGCACTCCCATGACCAATCAATACATGTAAGCGAGTCCTACGGGAGGTCAATCGGGGCTTCAATAACTCAGTGGTAAAATCGCTGACTACAACACTGGGTGACGCGGGTTCGAATCTCAGGTTGGACATCAGTTCCGTTGAGGTTGCAGATACGCCCTGCTGACGAGTACCAGAAAGCACGAAACCTAGGTCAAACAGGGCTTCCTGCCGATTGCTTTCAACCAACTAACATCTACTAATGTGCACCGCTATGCTGAGCTTCCTAGTATGGTTGCCATATTGTAAATGTAATCGATAGAATTCGGTCTGCACTCAAGACTGGACAACATGAAATTGGTTGCACTCCCATGACCAATCAAAACACAACTGTATTTCGCTTATCTTTCTTACCAGTTACTTGATGCTTGATAATAGAATGTGGCTTTCTGTTGGATTTACATTCATAGGCTAGAAGATAACGAAGTGAAGTATATTTGTCGACTGTTGTAAAATGAAGCTTAAGACTTCTTCAACCACTTTTATTGATTTTAATTGTTTTATTTAGAATCTAATTTATGTACGGGTAAATATGCTGAGAATGTTTACAATCTTTGGTGTTTTGTTTTGTTTTGTTTTTGCAATTTTCAAACTTTCAAAATTCCCTTATTACACTTTTGCATTAACAGATTTCCAGCTTTTTCTTGGTGTGGTGGTTTGCAACGAGTAACTGGAGGATGTGCATCATTAGGACGTGGACATCATAGTTTACAAGGAAGTAGTAGAAATTCTAGCCGTCAGAAGTTAACTGGAAGCATAGAACCAAATCGTACCGTTAGATCAAATGAGTTTATAACTGTTGGTGCGAGACCGACACCACCTCCAAAACCTGGTCCACTTGTTGTTGAAGTTATCTTGACCAGAGGTACTAAAAGTGGATTGGGATTTAGTATTACTGGAGGTGTTGGCAATGAAACATCCAATGGAGACTCAGGGATATTTGTTACTAAGGTATGTCTTTGAATGTGATATGGTGTTTACAGTAGAACATTCCATTTTCACTTATTTTTTTAGGATTATTAATTTGATTTGTTCAATGATGGGGCCCACCAAGTTACTTAACGATAGTATTGGATGGAAGTCATATTATATCATGAACTGATCGATGAAGGGGATGTGGACTACTGGATTCTGACCCAGTGGCTCAACCGTAACGTGCTGGCGGTGCAATCTGAAGGTCTCGGGTTCAATCCGTCGCAAGGCCTTATGTGAGCACTGCTGAAGAGACCCATACTCAAAAGAAACACACGTCCGATGCCCCGAATTCCCAATATTTCCCTAATTGATCTCAGTCCATGATCAATACCAAATTGAAATCAACAATAAGAATGATTAGTAGAATGTCTACAGATGGTAGAACATATATTTGAAACATTTGAAAAAGCTCTTGAAATAATGGAGAATATTTGTAGCTCAGGTTGATGGTCTTGGTTGTCCTGTATTCTCTGAACTAGGTTGTTTAATCGTGAAGCAATCATCGTCTTTCTGAACAGTGACATCATCCACAGCACTAACTTCAGTATGAAGTCAGCTATCAATATCTCTCCGTGAGTGGTTTAGTGACTTGATCTGACGATGTGGTCTGTGATTGGTTGTTCCCTTTGATTATTGTTTCATTAACTGACTGTATAGATTTTCCTGTTGGCTGTTCCTTTTGCTTGACCTCTGACCCTAAAGAAGAACGGCTACCCATGAAACTTTATCAGAAGATGCCTATCCCATGCATCGTCAACTACAAAGTCATGGATACAAATCAATAAACATATCATCTCACCATAATGCATAAAGAATATGTCAGAAATCATGACAAGATTACTGAGACCACTTAGTGGAATCGGTGTGGCTCAGAAATCAACAAATTCCCTAAAAACACTATTATGCAGACCAAAGGATGAGACAACCAAAGAAGACAAACCGAATATCATTCACATTCACATGCTCCTGTGGAGCTGACTATATTGGACGTTGTAAGCAGGCCCTCCGAAAACGTGTTTGCTGAACACTACCCAGTTCAGCTTACCACAGCGAGCAAAGGAAAACGACTTCATCCATATATGAACACCTTGTTGAAAGTGGACACTCAGCACCTCGAGACTTATCCTTTAAAGTAATTTACAAAGTTAAATTGAACTACTTCGTAGATGTACGTTTCCACCACTTATGTATAGCTGAAGCATTAGCTATACATGAAGAAAAAGCGAAACTTTGCATTCAAAAATGTTTTGTGGAACCACTTTCTCTACCTTGACCTTAATAATTCCTTGTTGGTTACTTTTGTCAATTTCAGTTCACTTCACTTTGGCATACTTCTATTATCATCATCGTTATTACCAATATTCACTTCATTGACAACCCTTGAACCATATTTCACTCTTTAATATCAATTCATTCCTTAATCACTGACCTATTGTACATATTTCAGCTTAATTATCACTACTATACAATTCTTTGACAACACTTGTCTCTTATCTCACCACTTGTTATCCATACGTCCCTCCTTATTCAATGACCCATCTTCTATCTTTTCCACTCGAACAAATACCACACACCTACACCGATTGTATATTTTGCATATTGACTGAGCAACTCCCTTTTTAGTTCAATTATCTGTCACTTTACTCAGTATAAATACTACTGTACAGCTTGATAATGAAGTCGTTGAAAAGAAATGCTTCTTCTTTGCTGATATATGCCTTGTTCTTGTTAATGAATAAATGGGTATATTTCATCATTTACAAAATGAACTGAAATAACTGTAGTCATCACTACATTCGACAAAGTGGTCGCCCTCTTCACCTTCGTCTACATGAACATCAATTAGCTATTAAGCGTCACATACGATATTTCATCACTCAATTCAATCCACGTGGATAATTATGGACATGAATTCAATTTCAACAATGTAGAAATGTTGGATGGAGAGAGGAAATACAAATAATATCAGAGAATTCCTAGAAGCTTGGTAATCAGGTCAGTCAGTCAGCAATCAACAGATATATAGACATAGACCCAATCTATCAACCAATAAGAAAGATAATAAATAACAGAAAGGCCAGATGTGAAGCAGAGGAACATCCAACACGAAAATCTATCCAGTCAGTCAATGAGACAACAATCGAAGGAAACAACCAATCACAGACCACATCGTCAGATCAAGTCACTAAACCACTCACGGAGAGATATTAATAGCTGACTTCATAGTGAAGTTAGTGCTGTGGATGATGTCGCTGCCTAGAAAGATGATGAAAGCTTCACGATTAAACAATCCAGGTCAAGGGACACAATACAACCAAGAAAAAGCTGGTGTAAGAGAATTCATCCGCATATTCAAGGATAAATGCGTAAATTTACCACGAAATATCAATGGTAACAAGGTTCACATTAAAAGCATACTACCAAGCAAGTTAAGTAACTCAACTTCAGAAATAGTTTCACTTTCCTGTAACAGTTAAGTAGTTAACCAGACATTCATGTTAATGAGAGATAGGTGATTATCTATTCTCCAATACACTAGCTAGCTGTACAACTATTGAGTCTTTTATCTCATTTCACAGACTATCAAACTAACCCTTGTTAGGATAAGGATAAGAAAACTTCTATGATTAAGGCTTTACATTGACCTCTGTTGTCTTCTACTAGTAATAACACTGTCAATCATCTTGTATTGTGTGATAATAGTTATAGAATATTGCTGGTCATTTTGACGAGCTAGTGATGAAACTTTCGTGTCCTGAAAACGATCTCCTTTTTTCTTAAGTTTCTTATTCATAAGAAGTTTCAAACCAGATGAGTAGAAATGCATAGGACTTGGTCACCAGTTAGCAACGAATATGGTTGTCTATCCTTAGTACTTCATACTAACCTAAGTTGGTCGATTACGGTTTACAATCTGCCCACTAAGCTACCTGATTTGATCATTTGGTACACTGTATTGATGATGTTTTGGGGTTTTCTGAGCTTTGATATTTTTGTTGTGCATGTTTCAACACTAGGCTTAGTGACATCTTCAGCACTAATCTGGAGCTACAATCTTTTCCATCAGTACACTATATTGTGATATTAGATTATATGAGTCAATCAGCAGAAAGTCGTAGAACGTAGGTTTCTTACTTTTCAGTACTCATCAGTACAGGTGTCCAACATGTCTCTAGGTGATTTCAATCAATGATAGTGGCCATACTTAATATCGTCAATGAATGAGCATCAATATAGGACTAGTCAGTCTTGGACAACGGCGCAGGCTACCACAATCCATGTCAGTATGTCAAGTCAGAAGACATCCAGGAGGGGCATACGGAAATGAGTAAAAAACTAGTCAAAGTGACAGAAATTCTGTGAGATAAAGACATTTTTTGGATGCATGTATGCTATGGCAGTCAATCTTAAGCCATATCATTCTCAGTCTGTAATCGGAGGTTTCGGTTGTCATATAATTCCTCCAAGAAGTATACATTTCCCAACATTGCATCAAAGCTTTGAAGTACCGGCACTTTTTCGATTACTCGGGCTCAGTCCTGTAAAATAATATTTCACTGTTTAATCTGCTTTATAAGTGCACAAATTTAGTTAAGATAAATAGAAATCAAACCCTATCGCTGTCATGGAATCGCTATTCATCATCGACTGATATTATTTTGAGAAATATTGGAAACCTTGAACAAGTGGATAGCTGTTTCGTCCTCAGCAGTGTTCACCCATGACCTCGCCATGAACAGAACTCGAAACCTTCAGGTTCCGCGGCCAGCACTTTACCATTGAGTCACTGGATCGGAATCCAGCGTTTATATTTACTATTTGACCGGAGGGCCAGTCAAGTTGGACAGGAGGAAAGATATTCAACGACAGCATTGACTTGGGGTCGCGCCATATCGTGAACTGACAGAATGAGGAAGTATGGGGCACTGGATTCCGAACTAGTGATTTGACGATAATGTGCTGGCCGCGGAGCCTAAGAGTCCTGAGTCCGATCCCTGGTAGGATCGTGAGTGTGCACGAGACCCATGCTCGAATGAAACAGCTGTCCAGTGCCCTTAGTTTTCTGATAATTATCCCACTGATGTCAGTCCATGATGAGTATTGACCTGAAATCTATGAATAAATCCTCTGAAACCTCCAGGATCACACCAGTTCATAACATTCGACAACGGTCGGATCAAGCGAAATGGTTTCCTTTCCACTATAATACGAATTTCATCGCTCATCTGATCGATTGAATGATAAGTGGTTGGTTTCCTTGTGATAAAGTTGATTCTATTGTCTCTTGTTTTCATACAATCGTTCATCATCCATTAATTTCAAGAGGGAAGATGAATAGTCGTTAAAATTTCCTTCAAAGTGTGTTTTTTATTCCAGCTTTGTCGGAATTGAGAAGTTTCGAATTAGACTGTCAGTTGATTATCTTGGTGGATAATAAGATACCTATTTCATATCGCGTGTCGATAAAATGCCGAGTGATTTTGCTACTGAAAGAACTTGTTCTCCTGTGAAGTATGCTGTATGGCATGTCTTTATAAGACCAAAGGTGTATCCTTCTCTGTGTTCACCTGATGTAACCGCTACAGTAGATGCACATACACGTTTACACACTGTAACAAAGAGCCTATTCTTCTATAAAGAGGGATCAACTTAGTTGCAGGATACCTTCTGTTCATTGCTGCTTTCAACCTTCGATTAGTTCTCCCTTAGACACTGTCGTCTTTGAAGCTGAGTTCAGTAGGAACAGGTTTCTTGCTAATGTATTTTCTCTTAATCTATCGTCTTCAAACTTTTATTGATAAACCTTTAGGAACAACGGTCTTATCGCGGGTCTTTACGATACTGAACAAATCTAATTCTAATATGTTTTTGAGATGAATGGAGATTTTTAATTTAGAAGTAGTATTCATCATGGACTGAGATCAGTTGGGGAACCATTGAAAATCTGGGAGCACTGGACAGCTGTTTCGTCCTAGTGTAGGACTCCTCAGCAGTTGTTAGTGCGTACTGCTGAGGAGTCCCATAGCAGGACGAAACAGCTGTCCAGCGCTCCCGGATTTTCAATTGTTCCCCAGCTGATGTTAGTCTATGATGAATACTACTTCTAAATCTAATTCTATTTTATTGCTTGACTACATCCATCTGTCTCAACAAAATAGTGTTTTAACAAACGTTAGTTTAAAATTGATTGGAAAGCGCTGTTGAAATTTTGGTATAATCCATTCCATATACTTTTCGCATCACCATCATCATTTCAATAATGAAAAGCGATAACGGTGGATCGTGGCTAGCAGTGGAATCCAGGATGCGCGTTTCGTCCTATTTGGGACTCGTCTGGCGTTTGAAGCAATCTCTCCCGGATCCGAATCCCGGTGGGAACAACATCACTCACTGGGAAGCAGGTACATCCAGCTGACTGGTGAGTCCCAAATGGAAAAAAATGCATATCCTGGATTCCACTGCTAGCCATAATCCATCATTAACATAATTATAGAAGACAGGTGATGTCGAGGCATCCACACAGGAGCCCATATGATAATAGAGACTGATCAATTCGGTCCAATCAACGACGGTATGATATAAAAACAACTAATGAAAAGCGATGTCTAAAACACTGAACTTTTCATTAGTTTGATGTTCCATAGTAAACTCAGAATTTTTACAGGCATCATTGAAGAGTTCGAGTAAACAGGGTATATGATGCTGGTCTTTATATGTGATAAATGTGTTGTTGATATATCTAGAATAAGAAGTCGTGTCTTCAATTGTATGCTTAAGATTTTTGTTCTCAAGGTTAGGAATAAATATATCTTCCAAAGCGGGGTTCAGTGGATTACCCATTGCTACTTCAGTTTTCCAGTATTCAGCGCTGTCAGGCCAAAGTTGAGTTTCTTTGCTACACATTAACACCAAGCGACCAGATTCCAAAACTGGCAGGAAAAGGAATTCAGGATGCTAAAACATAACAAAAATAGTCTCACGTATAAGAATCTTCATAAACAAATAAACTAGATCATGGGACAAAATGAACTCATTTAAGATGTTATTTGAATTTACATTCTCAACCAACTGGAATGAATCCTTCAAAGCATGTAAAGCCATTCGTTACTTATAGGTTGAAATTTTTCTGCAAGTCATTGAGTTACGTTGTGATGAGGTGGGTTAATCATGGATAGAACAGATCACAAAGGAGCATTCTGCTTGGATCAGTGTGCAGTTATACCATCATGTATATTGTTGATGTTTGTCAGGATGTATTTCTCAAAACAAAAAAAATGTAACTTTATAATTAGTACCCTCCTCATCTTTCTCTGATAATCCTTTTGTCGATTTCTTTCTTTTTCTCTTCCCTTCTAAATTTTAGCTGACTTCAGGTGGTGTTGCCGAAACAGATGGTCGAATTCGTATAGGTGATAGAATTGTTCAAGTCAATGATACACCACTTGTCGATGTAACACATGAACAGGCAGTTCGAGTTTTAAAACAAGCTGGTGATCAAGTTCGACTTGTTCTTGTAAAACGCGTTAATCACTCCTCACGTCAAACATCCTCAAGTGGTAAGTAATATACTGACTATTACCATAACCACCACTGCTCACTAACATCCAAATTATTATTAATTATATATTTTTTTTTGCCGATGACTTGTGTTTAATGTCACATAAACTCGAAGATCTACAAGCGAAAACTAGCAAGTTGACAGAAGAGGCCGTGAAGACGGGACTTCAAGTGAACGTAGAGAAGACAGAGGTGATGATAATGCCCAACTAACACCACCAACAACAGCAACAAACTCCAATCATTATGAACGGGAGAAACTTAAAGGAAGTAGTCTCTTTCACCTGTCGAGACATCACTGTTTCAACTACAGGTGGCGACACAGACAAGGAAGTCAAAGCAGCCAGGATCGGAAATACAGCAAGACAAGCGTTCATTAACGTGAAACCAGTGTGGAGATCTTCTGCACTACACTCTACTCAGCATAAAGAGTGAACAAGACCCGGATTTTCAGCACCAATGCTAGTCAAGTCAGTGTTTCTGTATGGCTCAGAGACTTGGCGGTGCGTTACGAAAAGCATTTCCAACAAACTACAGACATTCATCAACAACTACCGTCTAAGCTGGCTCTATACTGACACTGAAGCTCAGATGGCCAGAAAGAATAAGCAACAAGGAAGTCACTGTGGCTGGCTGACAACGAACAAACCAAGAAGCTATCGCTGAACAAATATGCAGAAGGAAGTGGAGATGGACGGGATTGGGCATACACTGAGAAAACCATTCGGGGACATCAGGCGCCAGGCCAGACCAGGCACTCGAGTGAAACCCAGATGGGAAGCGACGAGTTAGGCATCTGAGGTGAGGGTGACATGGAGGAGATCGTGTGAGGAGGAAATGAGAGCTTGTGGGCTGTCGTGAAGCCAGGTTGGATAGATTGTAGAGAAGAGAGTGAAATGGAGATGTGCTGCTGAAGCCGTATGTTCGACTACGAACCCAAGGGACAAATTATATATATATATATATATATATATATATATATATATATATATATATATATATATATATATGGTTTACAGCTGATTGGCTGACTGACGAATTCAACGTAGAAACACTCACAGAGGTACATCGGCTCAAGAACAGGTGGGAGAAAAAAGAATGATATCAGAGTCCATAAAGTGGTGGAAGACAACAAATAATTTGCAGATAAAGGTAAGCATGAATATTCAAGCTATAGAAGATGTCAAGAAGTGAATACATCTACACTATTGTAACCGAATTTCAACCATGTCATGGAATGTTCGTGGCCACTGATTCGTTTTGTCTCGGAAACTCCACCCAGATAGTCTACATCTCTGCACATGGCTCATATCAACAGTGAGATAATACATGGCGTGGTAAGATGTCTTGGTCTGTCTATCTTGAATACTCTTCCAACCTAGTCCAGCTTCTGCTAGTGTGGCACGTTGAGGTGGGTAGTGGCTCAGCATGGGTGTGGTTGAAAGATATCAGTAGCAAGTACTCGTTAGCATAGTATGTTAAATTGCAAAGTATTGCTGAGTCTCCGACCCTTTCATCCAAACTTCTAAAATTGTAGTTAGAATTCCTTCATCACTCAGAACTAGATAACAAAGAATCGATTAATCTTCTGTGACGAGTCAATAAATGTTTATGTGAACTGGTTGTGGCTTTTACCATGCTCCATTCTGTCTTTCTAACCGCTAGTTTTGCTCACAACATTTATCTTTTAAGCAAAACATCAATTCATTTAATACTTTCCTTGAAAGCTTGAAAATTGTGATTTTCGTCTTTCTTTCTAACTGAATCTAGAAGACATTCCCTCTGGAACTTAATCTATTTACTATGTTTCTATTATATTGATGAAATACACTGATATATATGTACCATCACTGGAGGATATCCACATTCTAATCAAAAGAAAAAAATCCATGTATATTGACTCCGAAGGGTCGGTGTGGTCACAAAGCAATAGACGCTATTATTATTATTTGTCCCTTGGGCTCCTAATGTAACATAGGGCCTCTTAAGCACATCGCCATTTCACTCTTTTCCCTGCAGCCTTTTTAACCTGGCTCCACGACTGCCCACAAGCTTTCATTTCCTCGTCACACGATCTCTTTCATGTCACCCCCGAACGCCTAACTTGTTTCCAATTTGAGTTCCACATGACGACCTGGCCTGGCCTGGTGCGTGATGTGTCTAAATGGTCTTCTCAGTGTATGCCAGATCCATCTCCCCTTTCTCCTTCATATTTGTTTGGTGATAGGTTGTTGGTTGGTTCGTTGTCATCCAGAGTTAGTTCCTTGTTGCTTATTCTTATGATTCTGGCCATCTATCTGATCTTCAGTACCACTATCGAGTGAGCGTACGCGGCAGCTACTGATGTATATCTGCAGTTGTTTGTTGGAAATGCTTTTCGTAGCGTGCCAAGTCTCTCAACCATCACATAGAAGCACTGACTTGACTGAATTAGTGTTGAAATTCGGATCTTCTTCATGCTTTATGTTGAGTGGAGTGAAGTGTAGTGAAGTGGGTCTCCACACTGATTTTAGATTGATGAGGGCCTGTCTAGCTTTTTCGATCCTGGCTTTCATGTCCTCATTTGTGCGGCCGCCGCCGCCTGTAGTTGAAATGATGCTGCCTAGGCAGGTAGGTGAAAGAGATAACTTCTTTACATTTATCCTGTTGATGGTGACTGGTGCTTGTTGTTGTTGTTTCTGGTTTGGTATCTACATCATCTCTGTCCTCTCTACGTTCACCTGAAGTTAGTCCTGTCTTCGCTGCCTCTTCTATCATCTTGTTAGTTTTTGCCTTTAGATCTTCGAGCTTATGTGACATTATACATGAATCATGGCTGAAATCCAAATATTCATTTGCTGTATTTTCATCGGTCCAGCCAGCGTATACCCCTTTTCTTGCTCCTTACAGATATAGTCGACCTAAAGGTTTCTAGGACGAGAGAAATATAAATTCTTTTGATGAAGCCTATCAAGTACGAAATGAGAGCTTAGCAGTTCCGAATAATAACTTTAATCAATAGGGAATTCTAGTTAACCTTTTTTAATATATAAATTTGATAAATTTATTTTACAGCTCCAATAAAGGATGTAAACACATCATCATAGTATCGTTTTAAATTAAATCAAAAACTTATTTTCACAGTATGCCTTAATTGTTTAACTGAATAATTTACGTTTATTGCGTTATAATATACTTATATATCCTCATCAGATATTCAAGTTTGTCTGTCCAATTAATGGACTCAAATCATTTTCTCCATATATACGCATACAAATTATCAGATGATTTGCCAAAGGCTATATTTGTTACCTTAAAACCATTGAAATCATATTGTTAGGGTGTCACATACGAATATCTATCCTGTGAACAGATTGGTTATCTTTTTTTAGCTCCCTTGCTCATAAAGTCACTTCCCTTGACGCATGAACTTGTTTCTTTGCTCTTGTATATGAATGTTCAAGAATACATACTTTCTATGATTGCATTGTCATGTTAATGAATTTCCAGGTCGGTTGATTTCCCTAAGGTCATTAATAATATCATTATAAGAATCAACTAATGTGTATTAACTTTCAATGCTTTTAAATGGTTCAAAGACTTGGCGCGTTACGAACGGTAAATCCAATAAACCACAGATATTCATCAGCAGCTGCATATGCTAGCTCGTTACTGAAACTCAGATGGTCAGAAACAACAAATATGCAGAAGCCGAAAATGGAGATGGATGGGATTGGGCATACACTGAGAAGGCCGACTGGGAACATTATACGCCAGGCCAAGCACTTGAGTGGAACCTAGGTAGGGAACGACGAGTTGGGCATCTGAGGTGAGGGTGACATGAAGGAGATGATGTGAGTAAGAAATGAGAGCTTGTGGGCAGTAATGGAGGCAGGTTTTGAAGACTGGAGAGAATAGAGTGGGATGGGGACGTGCTACTGAAGCCGTATGTTTGACTAGGAACCCAGGGGATAAATAATAATTATAATTATATGGTAGTTAATCGCAAGTTGACACAACTTATATAAGTAGTAAAATAAGTGAATGAAAAGTTAATTCTTAAAAACGATCAATAAGTAAATAAACAATGATATCTTTAAATTGGATTATTCATGAATACTGAGTATTTCCGAAAGAATATCATCATCGTGGAGGTTGAGTTCATTTCTCGACATCCTGAAGGAGAAACTCAGTTGGTAAGGGTAGTCCTGTTAACCTAGAGTAGTAATCGTAGGCCTCAAAAAATAGCTGCTTGAAACTTTCCTCACACACGTACAAAACGAACGTAAAATCTCGCACAAAAGTGCATCAGTTCAAGTAGAGAAAGAGAGATACTAAACTAGATAAAGATATATGAGAGGAGGGGTAATTTGAAAATTAGAGTCAGTGAAAATATTCTAGCTTTAGAACACGTCACAGAGTGGGTATATCTCTGCCATTATGACCAATTTTCAGCCTTGTTATCTCCAACCGAACAATCTGCACCTTCCAACACGCCTCAGATTAACACTCAGAAACTGCATGACCTGGCACTTTAGCCACTCTAGCCACCTTGAACCCTCTTCTAACCTAATTTAACTTCCTCAGCGCATTTACAAACCACTTCAGTTAGTGAAGTTTCAGGACCTTATCAAATGATTTCTCTTCCTTGCCTAACCTCAACATCACTAACACAGCATTAACATAATACGTATAGAGTGCTAGGACGACACCTGTCATGGAAAATCCATAATTCCTTGATGTCTTCTTTCAGCGGCTGTCTCACAGGTGTATAATCGGAGAGAAGGGACTGCTACAAAGTATATTCACCCTTTAGTAGGTAGTTGGATATCTCACCACCAGGCGCCAGAGATGACGCAACATGTCAAATATCAAACTAGCTTTTTGTATCAGAGCTGTTATTTCCAACTCAGTCAACCCATTGAAGCTGACGTAACTCCCCAATTAATGTCAACGTATTGCAGCGCTTCGCCTAGCAGATTTATGTCTGTGAAAAGTTTATCACATACAGGCGTAGGCG